CGTTGGTGAGAAAGGAAAATTACATATTTCTTTTTAAACATCTGCTTTGAATCATAGATCGAGGAACGAGGATCATTGACTGAGATGCAGCCTCTCTGCAAGAACGTTTTCACTCAGTTCCTTGCGTCAGAGGCACAAGTCTCTCTAATACTGCGTCGCAAGTACTGATAAGGGAAATTCAGCATGAAGTGCAGCAAATCATGGAAGGAAGGATCTAAGGGAGAAATCGTTTGACAATTGAAATCATCAGACTTGCTCCAGCACAGTGGAAAGGTCTAACGGAGAGGCACATTTGCTGTCTGGAAACGGGAAAGACACTGTCATACTTGAAGCAGCTTAAAACAGCCATGTTATTCAAGAAGGACGTGAAGAAGTGTCATTCAGTCCACCTCCTCTCACAAGTCTCCAAGTTGTTCACTGAGATCATCACCGACAAGCCGTTAACAATTCTGGACATCTTTACTTTAAATCAGTTCATCAAGGCATGGGAGCGACTACTAGCCTCCCCCCTATGTGCACTGTCTTCGACGATTATTAAAAGGTATTCGACACTGCCAAGTACAACGCAGTGTGAACTTAACTGGCAGAACAACGTATTGAGTGACACCGGTACATCAGTCAGAACTCTTCGAAATTGGCATCGAGAAACGAGTGAAATGCGGTGGCCCCATCTCTTCAAAACTCCTCACTGTCGTTTTGAACATGGTACTCCGGAGAATGAACTGGAAGGATGGGATTAACTTCAATGGTGAACAGTTCAGTCACTTAAGGTTCACTTATGACTGGATGGTGTTTGAGGAGAATGACGGTCAGCCATAAGACAGACTGCACGAGCTCTGGAGGAAACAGCTGAAGCCAGACTGCGAATCAATCGGACAAAAATGAAGATACTATGAACGGATGTCCCGCTGAAGGGTTGGGTTACAATAAAAGACGAAAGACTCGAAGAGATCGATAAATTTACCTGGTCCGTGAGATCAACATGCAATATGATCAGGTTGAATCGATTTAACGAAGAAGAGAACCTGTTGGCGTGTATTTTATTCCATCAAAGACGTCCTCCTTAATAAATTCAAGAAAGAAGCCCTCATCAATTTCTCTGTTCTACCGGTAATCTCGTATGGCTGTGAAACGCGGCCACTCTCTAACGCCGAAGAACTCCAGCCTGAAAGAGTCATAGGTGAAAGAATGCTGGGTGTCCCATCTCTCAACTGCCTCCCTAATGCGGCGACCAGACAGCGGGCGGGAATGAAGGAAAGGTCAAAAGCGAAAGTAGAAGCTACACGGAGCAGGAAAATAGTATGGTTCATGTACAGGAGATGCTGGGTGATAATCGCCATGTAGTATCCTCGCGGTGGGTTAGATCGCTTGGTCGCCCACGACGATGGTGGGACGATTACATCAGTAGATGGGAAAACCATGCTTTGAGAGAAAATCCTCAAAGCTACGAGAATTGGGGGGGGCATATTCACGGCCTTTTCAATTCGTTGCCAATTACCTGTTGGTGCAAGTGATTCAAGTGTACTGGAACCATGAATGTTGCCAAAGTCGAAAGAAAACGATCTCAGTGGTTCCCGTTTAATTTTGCAGTTCCCCTGAAAGATACGCTTTCTCCTTTGCTATTTAACATTTTTGTCGACCTTGACAAAAACGAAAATCTTTGTGAAGGGAAGGCGCAGTTCAAGATATCCGGCTAGGTCTCTTCTTCCTGGTGATATTATCCTGATGAGTTGTACACGACTCTGTGCTACGGCTTCCGTATGCAACAGAACTGAGAAAGCCGGTCTGTTCCTCAATGTCAGAAAGTCAGAAACCGTGAGAATATGCAATCCAGTACAGTTGATTTGCAAGTGGAGCGAGGAGGCAAAACGGTTGAGGAGAATAGCTCATTTAAACACCCTTCCGGATCTATCCTGTCCAGCAATAGCACCATTCAACCACAGTTAATTTGAAGGATCAACGTAGAATCGAATGTTTTTCAAACCTGTCCAATTGTCTCTCCACAAAAGTCCGTCCGTACCTTGCCTCTATTTGGTCAACGCTGTTTTACGACATAAAGATAGTAGTTCATATAGAAAGGGCAAGAACGACGGTTGAACTGCATACAGCAACGTTCGCTTCGACGCATAATGCGGGTTGCCCGACAGGACAATGTAAAGAATTACTCTATTCTTTCCCAGGGCCAGGTGACATCATTAGAGGTGGAACTTAGGGAAAGGTTTTCTTGTTTGACAGTGGTTGAGAGTAAGCCATTTATTCT